TCCATATGAGGTATCGCACTACTAGTACAGTCTAAGTATGATATCAGGAATGCATAAGTAAACTCTGTCGAGTAAACTTCAACAGTAGCCAGCTTAGGACACAGACTGTTATGTAACACAGGGTAACCGGCATGAGCCAACTGAACGGTTGCTGTCTCATGATTCAAGAGGAGCAGCCCGCCCCAGCCCATCTGGCCCATCTCACCCATCTGATCCATCTGTCCCATCTCACCCATCTGGCACATCTGGCCCATCTGTCTCAGAATAACGCAATGACTAGAATGAGGCATACAGGCAGGTTTTGTGCTATGGTGATATATTCTGTATAAGCATGCACCTATCTAGCCCATAACAATATATAAAGCACAAGCGCCTTCCTAAAGATATCAGCTGTGTTGGCACCAAAGGCCAAGTGAACTACGCTGACCTGGCGGCGCTGCAGTAGATCGTGCAGGAGGAACTACCGCAGCTAGATGTGCTTCACTATGCCCTCCAGTCGAGGCTCCTGACACAGGAGGATCATGACCGTGTTATCAGCGTACAGGACCGGGGTAGAGCTAGGCCGCTCACCTAAGTCTGTGAGCAAGAAAGTCAGCCAGCGGAGCTCCTGTGCCGCCATGGCACCAGCGTAGATCTCAGCCTCACAGCTAGACTGTGCAATAGACGATGAGTGGGTGGACCTTCACGAGATGGCGCCTACACCAAGGCTAAAGCAGTAGCCCTGGGAGGACTTGAGAGACTCAGCGTCATCCGCCCACGAAACGTCTGTGTGCCCTGTAAGGACTACTGGCCTGCATCCTCCTAGCACTAGCCCCATGCCTGATGTACTTGCTAGATAATGCAAAACCCTCTTAGGGGGTGGCCAGCTCAGTGGTCGGTGTCTGCCTATGGCCTCAAAGCGAGCAAGGATGCTGAGAGGGTATGCGAGATCTGGACGAGTGCAAGTAATCAGGTACATGAGGCAACCCACCAGCTCTGCGTACGGACCATTAGGCTCTACCAACTCCTCATGGATTAGAGCTGAGAGCCTGTGATCTACTGGCAGAGGTGTGGGCTGTGAGGAGGAGAACTGAAGACCAAACCTCTGAAGGACTTGGTGCCCCAAGTATGACTGTGTGAGAGTGATGGTGCACGCTGCTTTGTTCCTGGAGATCTATAGGCCAAGGTAGTGGCGCAGCTCTCCTAGGTCAATGCATGTGTGTCTCCTCAGCAGCCCAGCCTTCACGGAGGCCAGTGCGTCTCTGTCTGCAGTAGCGAAGACCAGGTCATCTACGTAGACAAGGATGTAGAATGGGTTCTGGCCTGAATGAACAAAGAGAGAAGGGTCTGCAGACGATGGGAAAAACTGCAGGTCAGCTAACGTAGCACAAAGCGTGTCGTGCCACTCACGGGGCACCTGCCGGCGTAAACCGGGTGCTGGATAAGCCACTGCGTCCCAGGGGCACAGGTGCTGGTGAAGCTTGGCGGACGGCGCAGGTAGACCTGCTCGTGCAGACTGCCCTGGAGAAACGATGTAAAGAAGTCGAGGAACTGCAACTCGTAGTCATGCTGTGCTGCTATGTATAGCAACGCCCGAAAAGTGGTCATCTTCGAGGTCGGGCCGAAGGTCCGAAAGAAGTCAACACCCTCGCACTGACTGAAGCCTCTAGCAACGTAGCGTGCCTTGAACACCGGCAGCTCTCTAGAAGGGCGCTACACTTTGAAGAGCCACCGGCCATCGACTACGTTCACCCCAGGTGGGGGAATTGCGTCGACGTAGGTGCCAGTGGATCGCATTGCCACGACACACCCCCCCGGTGGGATAGCGTATACACCAGGAATGGAACCCTGGATCGCTCTAATTCCATCTCAGACGAACGCAATGACTAGAATGAGGCATATAGGCAGGTTTTGTGCTATGGTATTGTACTCTATATAAGCATGCACCTATTTAGCATATAACAATATATAAATATGTTGAAAATCTGGCCCATCTGGTGTTCCGAGTGTAAGGCAGTGTGTTGGTGCAAGCATAGAGCTGTGAACACTAGCAGAATGTGCTAGCCGCAACTATAACTACTCCCACTGCTGCGCTCTCCCCACTGCGCAACTCTCACCACTCACTGTGCTCCCCCGACGCAATCTGGCTATCCGATTCTCAGTTGCTGAAAAAGGATAGCAAGGAGGACCCTAGTGCTAGGCACATCGCAACATAGGGTTACCCTCATGTCATGTCATGTGACTTGTCGTCATGTCATGCCAGAGGTAACAAACAAGAGCATGTCAACAAATATATTGACTATACACCTACAGTTTGTCTTGGTAGGATAGTCATGTTTGTTAGTTAACCTAGCTAGATCAGCTCTTAGAGTGAAAAACACACTACTTGTGTCTTCCCTCATACTTTCTATCCACCTTTTTCTCTTGATAGTTTCTCATGGTATCAGAGCCAAAGGTATTGGGTACAATTCCCAGTGTGCACCGGAGAGGTGGCAGCGCTGTAGAGGCGCTTGTGTCTTCCGCCTATCCCATTGAGGGGTGGTGTCAAGATACATGCTGGGGTTGCCCTTGGTCCTCGGGGAAGAGTCACAGGCGCAGAGCCTGGGGGTTATGGGCGCACTTACCCGCTAGTCCGAGGGTGCTAGTCCTGGGGGTGCAATTTCGGGGAGTGCCGATGGTAGCCGAGGTGCCGCTGGAGGTCCTGGAGAGGGCATGGGGCAGCTGCAGTCTGCCCTTTGTCTCTTTGGTCTTGCTCCAGGTTCCCCTGTCCCCCCGCCTGTTCCCCCTCCGGTGCATGACCCTGTTTACAGCTCGCTATTCCCACCTCCGGACTCCACATGCTCGTCCTACCCTCTCCCGCTTGCTTACGTCGCTTGTCACTGACCCTACTGCTCCACCTGAGACTGTATCTGCGCTTGTTGTTGCTGTTGCTGACTTCGCTGCTAGCCACCGCCTTGACTACGCTGCCGCTCTGGTCTCTGGTACTCCCCGTCCTCCATCCGTCGGGGGTGCACCTGCCCTTGGCAGTGACGTGCTAGAGGACACACAGTACGAGTTGGCGTACCTTGCTGCCGTTGTACCCCATCTTTGCTCCATGCTTGTATCCTTAGGGAATGACCCAAACGTTCTCAACATCCCTATTCCACGCTCTTACGCTGAGACGATGTCGGGGCCCTGGGCAGCCCAGTGGATACAGGCCATGGAGGCTGAGATGGCATCCTACAGATCCACATGCACTTACGCTGATGCAGTTCCCCCGGGTGGGGCGAACATAGTCGACGGCATGTGGATCTACTGGGTGAAGTGCACACCTGGAGAGCCGTCGAAGTTCAAGGAGCGTTACATGGCTAGAGGCTTCAGTGAGCGTGAGGATGTGGACTTTTTCCATACATTCTCCCCTACCCTGAAGATGACCACTCTTCGGGTTCTTCTCCACATAGCTGCGCAGCGTGACTACGAGCTTCACTCACTCGTCTTCACTACAGCGTTCCTGCATGGTAGTCAGCACGAGTAGATTTACCTCCGGCGCCCTCTAGGCTTCTCTGGATCCTTCCCACCTGGGACCGAGTGGAGCCAGCGCCGCCCTGTCTACGGCCTTCGTCAGGCACCCAGTGAGTGGCACGACACGCTTCGCACAACTCTTCCGGAGCTGCAATTCTTTCCGTCCTCTGCTGACCCCTCTCTCTTTGTTCTTACGGGCCAGACACCATTCTACTTCCTAGTGTACGTAGACGATCTTATCTTTGCTACTCTTGACAGAGTCGCACTGGCCTCAGTGAATGCCGAGTTGCTTAGGAAGCACGCCTGTATAGACTTGGGGGAGCTGAGGCGCTATCTGGGCTTGGAGGTCTCCCGTGACCGTGCCGCTCGCATGATCACACTTTCCCAGTCCCATATGGTACAGCAGATCCTCTAGATGTTCAGTCTCTAGTTCTCCTCAACACAACCCACTCCTCAGCGCAACCCACCCCTCTGCCTATGGATCACAAGCTCTCTGATCATGTTCCGGCTGAGCCGGTCGAGGCTAGTGGTCCATACGCAGAGCTGGAGGGGTGTCTCATGTACCTGATGACCTGCACTTGGCCAGATCTAGCGTACCCTCTCAGTCTCCTAGCTTGCTTTGTTGCGACAGGCAGGCACCGACCACTCCACAGGTCGGCTTCCAAGAGGGTACTACGGTATATGGCGAGTACATCAGGACTGTGGCTTGTTCTAGGAAGACGGGAGCTAGTGGTACTCACTGGACACACAGACGCATCGTGGGCTGACGACTTGGAGACGCTCAAGTCGTCTCATGGCTACTGTTTTAGTCTTGGTGCCGGTGCAGTCTCGTGGATGTCCATCAGGTCGTCGTCTGTACCTAAGTCCAGTTGTGAGGCAGAGATCTACGATGGGGCCATGGCCGCTCAGGAGCTCTGCTGGCTGATGTTCTTGCTCACAGACTTAGGTGAGCAGCCTTGGTCTGCCCCGGTCCTGTTTGCTGTCAACAAGGCCATGATCCTTCTGTATCAGGAGGCTCAACTTGAAGGCAGGGCGAAGCAGATCCAGCTGCGGTACTTCCTGCTGCGTAAGTTGCAGCAGCGCGGCTAGTCTCGAGTAGTGCACGTGGGCACAAAGGCCAACACCGCTGATATCTTCACCAAGGCACTACCACCTCGTGACCATCAGCGGTTCTGTACTCGGCTTGGTCTAGCCTCAAAAGCAGCGCCACTCCTTGTATCCTGATATATACTATACCTGTTTGTACTTGCTGTGCTATACCTGCATGGCTTGTTACACTTGCTGACTGGCCTAGTGGCCTCCTGTCTCAGTGATCAGACTAGTAGTGCTGCCCTGAGTTGTCTTGTTACCTTCACCAGAGGTCAGACTAGTAGTGTTGCCCTGGTTGGTGAAACGCTGTCATTATCTAGGCTAGGGGGTGTGTCAACAAACATATTGACTATACATCTATATCTAGTTAGGATAGTAATGTTTGTTGTAGTTAACCTAGCTAGATCAGCACTTAGAGAGAACAACACGCTACTTGTGTCTCGCCTCATACTTTCTATCCATCTTTTTCCCTCGATAGTTTCTCAGAGCGGGCCTATGTGGAGGGTTGATAGATTAACTTTGGCATTCTTGCCTGAACTACTAGGACCAAGCCCACCAATCGCAGCATGCGCCGCTCTTGCTTGCACCATATATGGCTTTTATGCATATGGTATTTGTCACTCTAACCAGCCAGAATGAACTTTAAACATGCTAAGGTACACACAGTGACACAGTGTAGGGCAGCGGCATCAGGCTGGTAGAAATACTCCAATCCAGTTGCGGCAGCATGTTGCAGCATGTGGCAGCATGTGGCTGCAGGTGGCAGCTTGTGGCAGCATGTGGCTGCAGGTGGCAGCTTGTGGCACTTGAGAGTTGCCAGGGAGGGTTAGAAGATGACAGAGCCTGGGAGAAACAGCTCTGACTCCAGCTGCTGCAGCATGTGGCATATGGCGTTGCACACCGCAATGGCTGGCTTCTGCGCCACACAGGGATGAGGGGGGGTGGGGGGGGGGTGGGGTTGGGGAGGTGGGGGGAAGGGAAGAAATGGGAAAGGGTATTAGAGAGCACGACAGGAAGAAAATGGGAAGTATGGGAGAAAGTGCTTTGACTCCAGCTGCTTCTGCAGTGGTCAGATGGCGTTGCGCACCGCAATGGCTGGCCGTTGTGCCACACAATTATGAGGGGGGGGGTAGGGAGGGAAGGGGGGGGGGGAAATTGGAAAGGGTATTAGAGATCGTGACTGGAGGAAAATGGGAAGAGATAGTATGGGAGGAAGTGCTTTGGCTCCAGCTGCTACTGCATGTGGTCAGATGGCGTTGCGCACCGCAATGGCTGGCCTCTGTGCCACACAGGGAGGGGATGGGTGCGAGACCGGAGGGTTTAGAGAGGCATGGAAGGATAGACTGAGCACATAGGCCACAGGAAGATATGCAATGCGATGCTTGCCAGGCATTTAATACGATGCAGCCCCATCATGGTTGCTCATATGTATCCCTACTGTAACCCCATGAGCATTGAGCATGACCAGAACCCATCAGTCAGCAAAGCATTTCACGTCATTTCATGGGGCTGTGAACGACCGTGAACTGGGTGACTTTTGAGTCGACTCAACACCCATGAGCACATAGCCCTACTATAACCCCATGAGCACATAGCCCTACCATAACCCCATGAGCACATAGCCCTACTATAACCCCATGAGCACATAGCCCTACCATAACCCCATGAGCACATAGCCCTACTATAACCCCATGAGCACATAGCCCTACCATAACCCCATGAGGACATAGCCCTACCATAACCCCATGAGCACATAGCCCTACCATAACCCCATGAGCACATAGCCCTAATATAACCCCATGAGCACATAGCCCTAATATAACCCCATGAGCACATAGCCCTACCATAACCCCATGAGCACATAGCCCTACCATAACCCCATGAGCACATAGCCCTACTATAACCCCATGAGCACATAGCCCTACTATAACCCCATGAGCACATAGCCCTACCATAACCCCATGAGCACATAGCCCTACTATAACCCCATAAGTACATAGCCCTCCTATAACCCCATGAGCACATAGCCCTACTATAACCCCATGAGCACATAGCCCTACTATAACCCCATGAGCACATAGCCCTACTATAACCCCATGAGCACATAGCCCTACCATAACCCCATGAGCACATAGCCCTACCATAACCCCATGAGCACATAGCCCTACTATAACCCCATGAGCACATAGCCCTACTATAACCCCATGAGCACATAGCCCTACCATAACCCCATGAGCACATAGCCCTACCATAACCCCATGAGCACGTAGCCCTACTATAACCCCATGAGCACATAGCCCTACTATAACCCCATGAGCACATAGGCCTACCATAACCCCATGAGCGCATAGCCCTACTATAACCCCATGAGCACATAGCCCTACCATAACCCCATGAGCACATAGCCCTACTATAACCCCATGACGACATAGCCCTACCATAACCCCATGAGCACATAGCCCTACTATAACCGCATGAGCATCACCAGGACCCATCAGTCAGCAAAGCATTCCTGAACGACTGTGAATCCACCTTGGTTGCAAGAGGGTCGAATGCAGCCATGATTTCAAAGTCAGGCGTGCGCCACGAGAGGAGGACTGCAGGGGGGAGAGAGGAGGGGACGAAGGGGGAGGGAAGAGAGGGACGAAGGGGGAGGGAAGAGAGGGAAGAACAGAGCGCAACTGGGAGGGTCGAATGCGGCCATGATTTCAAAATCAGGCATTCGTCACGAGAGGAGGACTGGAGACGACTACGGGGGGAACGAAGAGAATAAGAGGAGACGGTCGAGAGACAAGGGAAAAAGAGAGGGCGTAAGGCAAGGTGGAGCAAGAATCTCTGTGCAACGTTCATGTTTTCGGGCGTTTCAACCTCAATACACAACGCCCATGAATACGAAGGTGCACACACCAATCATTTATACCCCCAATCTCATTGTCACCATCAAAGAAATTCAGGGCTCAGGCACCAAGGTTGTGAATTGAATAAAGAATGATTAGGGTTTTTCGCTGTATGTAGCAGCATTTCCTGCAGCATAACGCGACTCACTCTTGAGTCGACTCAAAAGCAAATGCAGCACAGGGCGACTCACTGAAGCACAGGGCGACTCACTGAAGCACAGGGCGACTCACTGAAGTCCTTGGTTCGTCTGTATTGCGTCTTGATGCCGCCCGGCACAGGGCAGCTGCCACCCAACTCCATCGAAGCCAGCAGTGATGTCGCTGACGTGGACGATGAGGATGCTGACAAGGCAGATGACGTCGCTGATGTGGCACCAACAGTAGCGTTCGCAGCGGTGACGGGCGTCTGAGTTGTCATGGAGGAATGCATGGTCTGGTAGGCTCGTAGGAGACTGGATTGTGGGGGAGGGGAGGGGGGGGAGATAGAAACGTGAGGAGAGGGGAAGGGACGAGTGAGGGGAGAGGAGGGAGGGGAGCTGTGAGCTGGCATGGAGGGGTGCATGGTCTGGTAGGCTCGCAGGAGAGTGGTTTGCGGGGGAGTGGGGAGAGAGAAGGGAACCGGAAAGAAATCGCTGAAGAAAGAGATGGGGAAGATGAGGGGAAGATGAGGGGAAGATGAGGGGAAGATGGGGGGAAGATGAGGGGAAGATGGGGGGAAGATGAGGGTAAGATGAGGGGAGGATGAGGGGAAGATGAGGGGAAGATGAGGGGAAGATGAGGGGAAGATGGGGGGAAGATGAGGGGAAGATGAGGGGAAGATGAGGGGAAGATGAGGGGAAGATGAGGGGAAGATGAGGGGAAGATGAGGGGAAGATGAGGGGAAGATGAGGGGAAGATGAGGGGAAGATGAGGGGAAGAGGAGGGCATGGTGGTGAGATACAGACGAGGGCTGTGGTCTCCTCTTTGAAGAGGTCTGCTGTACGTACACCCCCTCCTCAACCCGCCTCAACCCTACTCGACCCTCCTCAGCCCTCCTGCACCCTCCTTGACCCTCCTCGACCTTCCTTGACCGCGAATCACCCCTTCTGCTGCCGCCTGTCGCTCAGAGCGGGGGGGAACTCGGCCATGACGAACTGCCTTAGAGGCACGCTCTTGAAGAGGTCTGCTGTACGTATACCCCCTCCTCAACCGTCCTCAACCGTCCTCAACCGTCCTCAACCGTCCTCAAACCTCCTCAACCCGCAACTCACCTCTTCTGCTCCCGCCTGCCAGTGAGCGCAGGGGGGAACTCAGCCATGACGCTCTTGAACACAAAGTGCGGCAGGCCTTGTGGGCCCCACATGGGCGGAATGGGCAGCGTGAGGTGTCCTGCACCTTTCATTCCCACCTGCCCACCTGCCCACCTGCCCACCTACTCGCAAGGAGTGCCAGCAAGCCAACTTACTTCTTCTGCTGCCGCTTGTCGCTCAATGCCGGGGGGAACTCAGCCATGACAAACTGCCTTAGAGGCACGCTCTTGAACACAAAGTGCAGCAGGCCCTGTGGGCCCCACATGGGCGGCACCATCACAGGCGTCTGTGTGGGCATGAGACGACGGCCGCCACCCTTAGGGGACGGTTCACGCAGCGTTTGAGCGGTGTGTGGGATGGCGAGAGGAGGGCAAGGGAGGGAGGAGGTGAGAGGAAGAGAGGGGGGTTCTAGGGGAACGGATACTGGCACTTCTGTTGCTGGTGAACCAGTTTCTTGTTGGTCCGTCCCCATGCCCATGCCCATGCCCATGCCCCCTCCCAATACACTCCTCAGCTTTTCTAGCGCCAATACTGCACCATCCTCCTCCTCTTCGTCCTCTTCCTCCTCCTCTGCATCTCCCTCCTCTTCCGCTTGCTGCCCTTCTATCCATCCTTCCGCCCCTTCTCCTTCCCCCCCACCACCAAACACCCCCCGATTCTCTGATTGGTCAAATGCCCTGGAGTAATCATCGTCCTCGTCAGCACCGTCCTCTGATTGGCCCATGGGGATAATGTCGCACCCCATTCCTGGGCCTAGGCCATAAGGGTCGGGAAAGGGTAGGCCCGGGGGTTGGGGGGAGGGGTGGAGAGCGGGAGAGGTGAAAGAGGAGGGGGAGGGGGGGCGGCGGGAGGGGGAGGCGGAACGGAGGGAGGGGGAGGAGGAGCGAGGGGCAGGGGAGGAGGGGCGTTGGGGGAACGGGGAAGAAGATTTTGTGTTTGCGGTTGTGGTTGCGGTTGTGGTGGTGATTCGAGAAGGAGTTGTGAAGCGAGGAGAGGAGGGCGGAAATGGAGAGAGCTTGGGGCTTCTGCTGCTGCTGTTGTTGCTATTACTGTTACTAGTGGCAACGCTGGTGCGAGCGCCCTTACTGGCTGCAGCAGCAGCAATCGAGTCGATGTGTGATTGGACGAGGTGAACAGTGACGCCGCGCGAAGGAGACGATGCCGCGGAGGAAATTTCCTGGAAGATGTTGCACTGCACGAGTGTCTGCTCCATTGACATCCTGCAGGGAAAATGGATGGAAGGTTTTGGGTTTAGCGTTTCGTGTGAAAAGACGGTTTTGGTTTTAGGGTGGATGGAGCAAGGGAGGCCGCGGAGGAGATCATATGGAAGGTGTTGCATCACATGAGTGTCTGCTCCATTGACATCCTGCGGAAAATGTGAACGGGCAACGAAAGGAGGCAAAAAAAGGGTACAAAAGAAAGGAAGCAAAAAAAGGGTACACAAACAAAGAAAGGAAACAAAAAAAGGGTACACAAAGAAAGGAAACAAAAAAGGGTACACAATGAGATGAAAAAAGAAAGGGTACGAAAGAAAGGAAACAAAAAAAGGGTACAAAAGAAAGGAGGCAAAAAAAGGGTACAAAAGAAAGGAAACAAAAAAAAGGGTACAAACGAAAGGAGGCAAAAGAAGGGTACAAAAGAAAGGAGGCAAAACAAAGGAGCAATTTTTTCCGCAGGAGGCAAAGAAAGACGCGATGAAAGGAGCAAAGAACGTGACGATTGTGTGATGCGCGGCAGCAGGGATGCCTCGTGCAGACAGACAGACAGACAGACAACGACAGCCACCGAGAGACTTGGACAGAGGAGGCTTGGAAATCCTCCTGCCTCAGCAGCTTAGCTCAGCAGCACGATGATGATTGTGCTCTGGCCTTAGCACCTCACCTCACGTCTTTTAGTGCGTGGAAGCTGCTGGGATCAGCAGAGAGCAGCAGCAGCCCCGTGTCTCCCCGTGACTGGTGGTGGTCGTACAGCGGTGCCGCTGACTGCGCTCCTGCCTTTTGAGTCGACTCAAAAGTCAGCGGTGCCTCTGACTGCGCTCCTGCTCTGCCACTGCCGCTGCCGCTGCTATCACTGTTCTTGCTGTTGTTGTCGTTGTTGTTACTGCTGCTGCTGCTGCTGCTGCCACTACCAGCAGTGTCACTTCCACTGCCAGGTGCGCCTGTATCGTTCTGCTTGCTCCCACTCCCCCGAGAGCCACCAGTTTCGCTGCTGCTCCCAACGCCCTTGCTGCCACTGCCCTTGCTGCCCCCAATGCTGTTGCTCCCAACGCCCCTGCTGCCAGCAATGCTTGACTTGGAGCGGGAGATGGAGTGGGAGTGGATGGTGTGGGGAGTGGGAGGAAGGGGCTGGTCGGCGGCCCAGTAGTGCACGTAGGCGTAGAGGAAGGCGGAGGGGTTGTAGTGGGGCAGACACACAGGCGTGAAGGACTCGGGGGATGTTCTGGTAGGGGTGGGTGGGTAAAGGTGGACAGCCCAGTAGCGTTATTGAGAAAAAAAGAAAAGAAAAGAAGCTGATTCGACAGCCCAGTATCGCACACTGATGGACAGGGGTGAAGGACCGGGGGGACGGCAGGGTGGGTGGGATAGAGGGGTGGGGGAAGAGGGACGGGGTTGGTTATAGACGTGTGAATAGGCAGCCCAGTAGTGCCCACACAGACAGGGGTGAAGGGGGATTGCTGGCAGGGGCGGGTGGGTGGGAGATTGGGGGGAGAAGAGGGACGGGGAGGAGGAAGATTTCGTGCGAGTGGACGGGCTCCCTCTTCCTGTTGCCCATTGTCACCACCTCGAAGCCCGAAAACACCAGAGCAAAGAGCGCGGGGGAGGGACCAACAGCAGCAGAATCGGCCTAGCAAGACGACGACGATCTATCGCTTACCGGAAGGAGTCAGAGGCGTTGAGGAAGGGGAGAAGGAGGAAGATGGGGGGCTCCCTCTTCCTGTTGATCACTGTGACCACCTCGAAGCCCGAGAACAGCAGAGCAAAGAGCACGAGGCCTAGAGGAAAATCTAGGGCATATACAAAGGATTCAAAGGCTTACCGGAATGAATCTGAGGCATTGAGGAAGGTGAGGAGGAGGAAGATGTCGTCCGAGTGGAGGGGCTCCCTGGTCCTGTTGGCCACCGTCACCACCTCAAAGCCCGAAAACACCAGAGCAAAGAGCGCCGGGGAGGCTGCAGCTGCTGTCTTGATCGCCCCGCTCACTGTGGTGCGCACCCACGCTGGTATCCGCAGGCAGCGCATCGAGGAGAGGTAGCTGGCTGGGTCCCTGGAAATAGAGGGACGAGGGAATGGATGAAGACGAGGTGACTTTTGAGTCGTCTCAAAAGTCACCTGAGGGACGAGGGACGAGGGAATGGATGAGAATGAGCGGTTGAGAGGTCTCAGTCGTCTTTCAAGGGAATGTGCAAGGAGCAGAGTGTGTGACGAAGGGGCGGTGCATTAGTGGTGAAGGGTAAAAAAGTGCCAGTACTTTTAGTAGGCATATGCAAAACGGAGGACACAGGAGGGCTGGAAGAGAAGGGCTTACCAGGAGAAGGGCTTACCAAGAGAAGGAGTGAATAAGAGCGGAGAACAGACGGTCCGTGCCGCCCAGCAACGGCCGGATGTCAAACTTGGGGTTGCGCAGGAACGACCGCTCGATGGCTGACGTCAGCAGCATGAGGAGCTGAGGGGGAAGGAAATGCAGGGAATTGCAGGGAGATGCGTGAGAGGAGTGGGCGAGAGGAGTGGGCGAGAGGAGTGGGCGAGAGGAGGAGTGGGCGAGAGGAGTGGGCGAGAGGAGTGGGCGAGAGGAGTGCGTGAGAGGAGTGCGTGAGAGGAGTGTGTGAGAGGAGTGTGTGAGAGGAGTGTGTGAGAGGAGTGTGTGACAAGAATTGTAACCTTTCTTTGCCACTCCTCCCCATCCCCCTCTTCCCCACCCTCCCACTCTTCCCCCTCCCCCGAGCCCGCCTCCCTCCCTTCCCTCCCTCCCACACACCCTCCCTCCATATCTTTCCACCATGGTGGACCATCCTCTCTTCCCCCCCCACCCCCTTTCTTTCTCCTCCCTGCATCTCACCATCTTGTGCAAGTGGTCTAGTTGGCGCTCTATGATTGGCTCTGGCTCGCCTGCATCCGTAATTGCCACCAAGTAGAAAGAGCCGCGTACCAGGAAGAGGACCTTGGGTGGATGGCAGAAGGGAGTGGAGTGGGTATAGGGATGGGAAGGGGGGGGGAAGGGAGCGTCAGTAATCGCTACTGAGTAGAACGACCCGCACACCAGGAAGAGGACCTTGGGTGGATGGCAGAAGGGAGTGGAGTGGGTATAGGGATGGGAAGGGGGGGGGAAGGGAGCGTCAGTAATCGCTACTGAGTAGAACGACCCGCACACCAGGAAGAGGACCTTGGGTGGATGGAAGAGGAGAGTGGGAAATGGGGGGAATGGGGGGTGGTGGAGGGATGGGGGGAATGGGGAGCCAGCAACGCTGGGAGCAAGAATAAAGAGGAAGCATTTTGTGATTGCCACCAAGCATAGCTCTTCTTGAATGAGATGAACCGTGTTACATTGTAACGAGATGACTTTTGAGTCGACTCAAAAGCAAGAAAAGAGGAAGCAGTGGTAATTGCCGCCAAGTAGAGGCAGCCATGCACCAGAAGGAGGACCTGATGGTGCATGGGTGGGGGAGAAACAATGGCTGAGGGGCGAAGCAGGGGGGGCGGAGGGGAGGAGGAGGGGGGAAGGGAGAGTTAAAGCCTGAGTACCAACTGGACCAATGATAAAGTGAAAAGAGCCGAATAAAATGAACAAGAAAGTCAACCTTTGGTGGATGAACCGTGAGGAGGGAGGCATCACCTGGCGCAGGCATCACATGCTTTTCACACCTCAAAACACATACCCACCTGCTGCTACGGCAGCCCAGCACTAATGCTTGGAATGACGACTGCACATACGGATACGGCAACACCAGAGCCTTCCAGGCTTCCAGGGTCCCTTTGGGTATCCACTACTACTCCCTCCCACTGCCCATGCATCTCACACCGTACCCGCCTGGTGCAGACCAACAGCAATACATCGGATGTGGTCCCCCGGCATTGACTCCGCATGCGCCACCAGAGCCTGCAAGACCCCTCCAAACACCCTTTCATACCCTTGAACGCACCTATTCCCCATGCCCTTGAATTCCCACCTGGTGCAGCCCAGCACTGATGCTCCGAATGTGGTCTCCTGTCGACTCCACATACGCCACGAGAGCCTGCAAGACCCCTCCGAAGGCTGCTAGCTTGTACTCATCGCCATATCTGACGGGTGAGGGGATGTGGCTCGGTTGGAATCGGAATGCCTCTGACTTCTAAAAAATTATCTCACAGAGACATGTGGTTTCATTGAAGTTTGAGCCAAGGACGCCAGGGTGGTCCTTAAAGGTTAGACCACTAGAGGTGCCACCACCCTAAGCCAGCTGGCTATAAGAATCAGAATAATATGTCACTGTGGCAAGGCGTTTCTTGTGAGGAAATGACGGCGGGAAATGCTCTTGACACGTCTCGAACGCCTGAAACGCCTATACAGAGCCACTCACCGCGAGTGTAATGAGTCGATTTTTTAGTCGACTCAAAAATATACAGAGCCACTCACCGCGAGAAGACGGGTTTGCCTGCATTGGTCACGACCAGAAAATGCCGGCCGTGCTGCCGCCACTCCGGTTGGTTCTCGTCCTGATTGGATAGGGGCATGGGCATAGGTGTGTGCATGGTCGTGTGCATAGGTGTATGTGTGCGTGGGTGTGTGCATGGGTGTGTGGATGAGTGTGTGGATGGGTGTATGTGTGCGTGGTGTGTGCATAGTGGATGTGTGCATGGTGGGTGGGTGCATGGTGTGTGTGTGCATGGGTGTGTGGATGGGTGTGTGCATGGGTGTGTGGATGGGTGTATGTGTGCATGGGCGTGTGCACGGTGGGTGTGTGCATGGTGTGTGCATGGGTGTGTGCATGGTGGGTGGGTGCATGGTGTGTGCATAATGGGTATGTGCATGGGTGGGTGCATGGTGTGTGTGTGCATGGGCGTGTGCACGGTGGGTGTCTGCGTAGGTGTGTGCATGGTGGGTGGGTGCATGGTGTGTGTGTGCATGGGTGTGTGCATGGGTGTGTGCATGGGTGTGTGGATGGGTGTGTGCATGGGTGCACACAATCATCCTTACACCTCATCCCATCCCTCACCTCACCTCGTCAGCATGTCTCTTCGCAGGCAGCCACCCATGAGACCACAGGGATCTCCCCGTTCCCCTCCGTCTCATCCCATTCCCCCTCATACTCACACTCTGTCTACCCGCTCAGACCCCTTTCCCCGCGCTTCCTCACCTGGTCGGCGTGTCTCTTCCCCAGCAGCCACCCATGCGACCACAGCGACCTCCCTGTTCCCCTCCTCCTCACCCCACCCCCCATGATCACACAACAACACCCCTTATTAACAACACCCCTTATTAACAACACCCCTTATTAACAACACCCCTTATTAACAACACCCCTTATTAACAACACCCCGTCCACACAATCATTCTCACACCTCACCCCTCGCGCAGATGGGGTAAGGTAAGGTAAGATGTGTGTCCTCGCGCTCAATCCCTCACCTTACCTCATCTGCGTGTCTCTTCCCTGGCAGCCATCCATGCGCCCACAGCGACTTCCCCGTCCCCTGCCTCCTCATTCTCTCACTCTCCGCCTCCCTCCTCCTCTCCTCCTCCCTCGCCTTCTCCTTCTCCCTCCCCTCCTCCTCCTCTCTCCTCTCCCTCTCCCGCTCCCTCACTTGCTCCCTCCTCCCCCTCTCCCTCAACCTCTCCTCATCCCTCTCCACTCTCTCCTGCTCTTCCGTCTTCCTCCTCTCCCTCTTTCCTCCCTTCTCCCCTTCTCCCTCCCCCTCCCCCTTCCCCTCTCCCTCCCCCTCCCCCTCCCCCTCCCCCTCCCCCTCCCCCTCCCCCTTCGACTTCAACAACCCCCCTTCAACCCCCCCCTCCCCAACCTGCTCCTCCCCCTCCTTATCCCCCCCACCCAGATTCCCACTACGTCTTTCTGTTCTTTCTTGTCCTTCTCTGTCATTCTCCTTCCCTTCCTCTCTCTCCGCTCCTCCCTCCTCTTCTCTCTTCTCCTCTCTCTCCTTTTCTCCGCTTCTCACCCCATCGCCCGCCCTCCCGCTTCTGCCAACCTCGCTACTGCTTCCCGCGTTACATGCTCGGCTGACGTCGTTGCCGACGTCACTGGTGACGCTAACGCCGATCTCTCGCAGCACCGCGTCCACCTCATCGTCGCCAATCGGACGGCTCTCCGCATCCGACGCGGCTGCCGCCTGTAAAATCGCCGACACTAGATCCGACCTCCCTTTGGCTTCGTTCCGCTCACCGGTATCCTCGTTAGAGTCATCCCCACTACTGTCACTGTGCACAGAAGAATCGTCTGAGTCTTCAGGGAGGTAACACGGCGGGTCTGACGACATCTGGCGAAAAGGGGGTTACACCAAGCGACGGTTATAATTCGTCCGCAATGCGATGCCTAGCGCTCCGAAATTCGCCAAAATCGAGAATTCGAGCTCCGATATGACAGTTCGCGTTACGCACTCACAAGTCGAAATTCTTCAATGTTGAGAGCTTTTCCTTTTTATATGTGAAGAGAGAGCACAACCCCATTAAAGATTATGTAATCTACACACCATATGGCACCAGTAATAAAGCCATCAAGATATGCTTACACGCTATTACAAAGCATTGCACTAAGACACCACAAAGTAAGGACACATAACAGCTATAGCGCAGTATTGAACCGCATGCGTAACATAACGCATGTAATGGTCATGTACTGTACACGGGAGATCAAACATAGCTCCACCAGGTTATCCTGAACCCGACTGAAAAACACTCTTTCTATCCGGTGGGCTCTCAAAAGGGCCAAATCCATCACCTCTCCTCTGTGGAGAGGTGCTTCGCCATGACCCCTCTCCTCCCCCCCTTCCCACTCCCCCTCCTCCCTCTCCCCCTCCTCCCCCTCCCGGCCCTCCCCTTGCACCACGTGCACCCCGCGCTGTAGGCGAGGCCGACTGAGAAATGCTCCGACTTCCCGCTGGACTCACAAAGCGGCCACCACCACCACCTCCACCGCCACCTCCACTTCCACCTCTCCGCTGCGGGGAAGTGACTTGTGGCGACCCTCCCCCCCTTCCTCCCCCTCCCACCCCTCCCATCCCTCCCACCCCTGCTGGTGCACCCCCTCCTGCTATTCTAGACCCTCCCGCCCCATCCACTCCCCGTTCTGCGACCTCCGAATCGCCTTCCCTCTTACCCTCCCTCCCCTTTCCCCTCCCCTCCTTCTCTCTCCCCTTTTCTCTGCCCCTCGCCCCCTCCCTGCTGCCGCCCCCCCCTTCCCAGCTTGTGTCCGGTGCATGTTCTGCGGTGAAAAACGGTCGAATGTATTTCGAATCGAGGTCCTCAAACGACGGGCTGAAAGGAGGAGAGGGAAAAGGCCGGGGGGAACGGGGAAAGCAAAGAGGAAAGAAGTGAGAGGAGCGAAAGAAGCACGCACACGATAAGTGCAGCGGGTTGCTCCTACGAAGCTAGAAGCGAAGGCGGAGGATTATACGGTTCACACGAAGTAAGAGGCACATGCTTTGGGCGTGTATTTGGCGTGAATCATCCTTCTAAGATTCCGGTGTGGCACTTTTCTCGCCAAGTGCTGAGGCGATGGTGGCCCATTTCAGTTCCTTCAAAAAGTTCCTAAGAAGCAAAAAGCAGGGTTTATGCATCATACTTTTCTGGCAGTATGCTGAGGTGATGCTGGTCCAGATGAGTGCCTCCGTGCACTGCCTTTCCCCGCCCATGATCCCGGCCGTCCACATGTCCGTGTATGAGCCCGTGCGTCATGGCACTCCCCTCCTCTCCCTCCTCATCCGACGTGTCCTCAGGCTGGTAGTAGGGATGAAGACGGCATGTTTAGGCAGAGTAAGACTGTGCTTCTAGGTGCCCTTACAGACACACACTGTAACGCGCATGAGCCCCCACGCGTCATGGCACTCCCCTCCTCCCCTCCTCATCCGATGTGTCCTCAGGCTGGTGATAGGGACGGAGAGGACAGAGTTCGGCAGAGTGAGACTGTGCTTTAAGCTGCCTCTACATGGCAACTTGTATGAGCTCGTGCGTCATGGCACTCCCCTCCTCCCCCTCCTCATCCGATGTGTCCTCAGGCTGGTGATAGGGACGGAGGCATGCTTCAGCCTTCAGGTGCCTCGACAGACACACAGCATGCATGAAGTGAGGGGCATGAAGTCCATACATCATACCTCTCCCCTCCCCTCCCTTCTTGTCTGGTGTGTCATGGACTCATGGCACTCCGCCTCTCCCCTTCCCGATGCTCAACCAATGTGCTTGGCAGAAGGAAGATGTGGAATTTGGAAGATACCTCAGTGCCATGAAAATGCTTTTCAACTTCCAAAGCGGCATCTTTTTTTTTACGCCCCTCGAAAATAGACTCCTCAAGCAAGAAGGAAGATGTGCATTATTTCAGCATCACAAAAATGCTTTTCAACTTTCCAAGAGGCAGCCCATTTGTGCAGCTCCCACTTTGTTCCAAATTTGGCGAAGGAACACCCCACCACCACCTCTCACCTCCCTTCACCACTCATCACCGTACTTCACCTGGCTGAATCTCACCTGCCTCAGCTGGCTCAATCTATCACCACCTGCCACATGCACTTGCAGTCACTCATGCCTCACTCACCGTTCCTCACTTGACCGCCCTTCACCGCACTGTATCTCACAACACCATGTGTTTGCCCACCTGTCTCAGCTGGCTGTATCTGTCCCCTGTCACTCGCAGTCGCTCCAAGACAGTGGAAGTGCTGCCACCCAGGAGAATGACCTGCAGAGATGGGGTGGGGGGAGAGAAGGACGGCAGGGGTTTGATCACCTTACAAACACTCAGCCACTCCAACACAGTGGACGTGCTGCCAGAGAATGACCTGGGCAAATGAAATGAGGCGGAGGGAGGGGAAAGGCGGGGGAGGGAGGGTGAGGGAGGGGGAGGGAGGGTGGGGGAGGGGAGAGAGGAGGGGGGGGGGGGGGCGGGAGGGAGGAAGGGGAAAGGGAGGAGGATGGAGGGGAGGGGGGTTTAGAGTTGAAGTCAGACGTGACTACTCAAATGGTGTAATTTCCATTGCAAAGCACAGCACGAACGTGGTGTGCACATTCGGAGTGGTGAGTTTGTCGACATCTTAGTGTGCACGGAAGGAGTTAATCGGGAGGGAAAACAGAGTGTTGGAGAAGAATCATGGTGCACCTCTACTCAAAGCTACTACTTCTCTTGCAGGGTGCAATGCGAGAATGCACAAAAATTGGTCAAAGAAGAGAAGGCTTTACATAAACATGGTGAGTGTGGTGTAGATACAACAGGTGATGAGCGCATCAACATTTTAGCATGATGCAGGGAGTGCATGCAGTGATGTGTGAGCACATCGATGTACACGCATCATCTCCATTTGGACACCAAAACGTTGACAACCTCATCACCCAGTGTGTGTACACCACATTCACCAAATGAAGTGGTAGCATTGAGGAGAGGTATAAAGTTTAATTCCGTAAACAAATGAAGAAAAAAGGGATTGATTACGTGATTCCTCTCCAACACTCTGTTCTCCCTCAAAATTAGCTCCCCCGGTGCATACTAAAATATAGACGACCTCATCAACCCGTGTGTGTACACCGCATTTATGTAGGGCCTTCTCTTTTTAACATAGATTGCCCATTCTCGTGCTGCACCCTAAAATGGAAATTATAGCATTGAGAAGTAGTACGCGTGCCTTACAGTCAGCATCACAATAGCAGTCGTGATGGTGAATATCGTCATCTCATGCTCGTGGTTGGGCAGACGATAGGTGATACGATTGAGCAAACCACAGTGCAAAGAGAAGACGTGCTTATAGAGAACGCCACAATAGCAGCGGTGGTGGTAACCATAGCACATGCCCGTGGTTAAAGGCTCTTGGGGGTATGACACAGCCAAACACAATGAAACGGAAGGAGGTGCTTACAGTTACAATAACAAGAGGTGCGTACAGTGAGCATGACGATGGCAGTGGTGGTGGTGAATATCGCCCTCCCATGCCCGTGGTTCGGCAGGTCGTGCGTTGCTTGCAGCGCCAGCCCAAATGCCATGGCTCCCCTCAGACCTGGAGAGGGGAGAAAGGGGAGCGATGGGAGAGAGCGCAGTGCACGGAGGGCATGGGAAGGAGAGATGGGAGAGCACAGTTCACAGAGGGGATCGAAGTGGTAAGTTCCTCGTTAGGCAGGTCGTGCGTTGCCTGCAGGGCCAGACCAAACGCCATGGCTCCCCTCAGGCCTGCAAGCAGTAGGGTACAAGGGGAGCGATGGGAGAGCGCAGTGCACGGAGGGGGTGGCGCAGTGCACTGAACCAGAGCGAGAGAGTGAGAGAATGAGCGGAACAGAGGGAGGGAAAGAGGGAGCACTGACCACTGAACCAGAGCGCCTTCTGGTGACTCTCTGGTATTTGCTTGGAGGGAGGGCGGAAGAGGTTGATGAGATGAGCACATGGAAACACATTGGCGGCTCTGAAAAAGCACGCGAGCGGGGAGCGGCAGGTGGGCATGGGGGAATGGAAGGAGTTGATGAGATGCGCACATGGCGACATGTTAGCGACTCCAGTGCGGAGTCCAGGAGGATTGGCAAAAGGACATGAGCAAAGAGGAACACAGTGGCAGCTGTGAACGCTTTTGATATGCCAGAAGAAAGAAAGGAAGAAAGAAAGGACAAAACAATATAAAAAACAGCAACAACAACCCGCATTGCCTCAATATAATTCAAACATGCCTGCTTGCCACCCACCTGGCGACACATATGATGAGCTGGCGATGACGACGCGGAGTGACAGTTGGCGAAGAGGATTCACGGTTGACCACCGAGCAGAGGAGGATCAGGCGCAGATGCATGGTGGGTGGGTGGGATGCCATGGTTGCGTTGGTGGCAGTTGGCGTCGACGAGGCACGGTTGACCACCGAGCAGAATAGGATCAGGCATCAATGCATGGTGCCACGGTTGGTGGTTGGGTTGCCAATGGTGGCATTCGCGATGAGGAGGAGGAGGAGGAGGAGGAGGAGGAGGAGGAGGAGGAGGAGGAGGAGGAGGAGGAGGAGGAGGAGGAGGAGGAGGAGGAGGAGGAGGAGGAGGAGGAGGAGGAGGAGGAGGAGGAAGAGGAGGAGGAGGAGGAGGAGGAGGAGGAGGAGGAGGAGGAGGAGGAGGAGGATGAGGAGGAGTGGCAATTGGTGTAGAGGAGGCACGGTTGACAATCGAGCAGAAGAGGATTAGGCAAGGATGTACGGTGACACGGTTGGTGGTTTGGTTGCCATGGTTGCGTTGGCGATGGTGGTTGGCCATGCAGGCATGTTAAAGAGGGGAAGGCGGGGTAACACACATGCGCACGCACGCACGCAGACACAAGCACACACAGACACAAGCACACGCAGACACAAGCACACGCAGACACAAGCACACGCAGACACAAGCACACGCAGACACAAGCACACGCAGACACAAGCACACGCAGACACAAGCACACGCAGACACAAGCACACGCAGACACAAGCACACGCAGACACAAGCACACCCAGACACAAGCACACGCAGACACAAGCACACGCAGACACAAGCACACACAGACACAAGCACGCGCAGACACAAGCACACGCAGACACAAGCACGCGCAGACACAAGCACACGCAGACACAAGCACACGCAGACACAAGCACACGCAGACACAAGCACACGCAGACACAAGCACACGCAGACACAAGCACACGCAGACACAAGCACACGCAGACACAAGCACACGCAGACACAAGCACACGCAGACACAAGCACACGCAGACACAAGCACACGCAGACACAAGCACACGCAGACACAAGAACACGCAGACACAAGCACACGCAGACACAAGCACACGCAGACACAAGCACACGCAGACACAAGCACACGCAGACACAAGCACATGCAGACACAAGCACACGCAGACACAAGCACACGCAGACACAAGCACACGCAGACACAAGCACACGCAGGGAACAAGGTTTTAACTGAAGGGTGAACGTTGGAATGGATGTGGCTGATGTGCTGTGGTACATACCAACTACGCTGTAATCCCATCCCATGCCATGCCATGGCATGACATGCTATGCCATCCCATCCCATGCCATGCCATGCCATGCTATGCCATGCCATGCCATGCCATGCCATGCTATGCCATGCCATGCCATGCCATGCCATGCCATGCCATGCCATGCCATGCCATCCCATGCCATCCCATCCCATGCCATGCCATGCCATGCCATGCCATGCCATGCCATCCCATCCCATGCCATGCCATGCCATGCCATGCCATGCCATGCCATGCCAACAATGAATGTTATCTCATCTCGTCCCATGCCGTCTCATTGCACAATGGAACCATGCAATGCGCCCCATGCCATGTGCCCCATGCCATGTGCCCCATGTCAGCAATCACACCATACCATACCATATATGGCCCCATGTCCCATGCGAGAACAGCATTCCCATCCCATGCGAGCACAGCAATGTCCATGCATGCAACACAGTGATTTCAACGCATGCATGCATGCAAGCACGTGGGCTCACAATGGAGAAGAGTATGAAGCTGATGTGGCCCCACCGTTGGTGCTCTCCCAGAGCTATTTCTGTGCCCATGTAGATGAAGCTGGAGAGGGGGGGGGGGGGGGTGGGGGGGGTGTGGAGGAGAGATGGGGGAAGAGAGGGGGGGGGCGGGAGGAGGGGGGAGAGGGTAGGGAGGAGATACAGCTGAGTGCTTCGCCACCGCTGGTGCTGTCCAAGAGCTATTTCCGTGAACGTTTCAGTGAGGACCTGAGTACTGGATGGCATGGCACTACTGGTAAGAGACACTGAGACACCGACACAACTGGGTGGCCAGCACACACGTGAGCGTCTCAGTGATGGAAGTCTAGTTTTGAGGCGCCTCAAAACTGGGTGGCCAGCACAGGGGACTCACGTGAGCGTCTCAGTGATGGAAGTCTAGTTTTGAGGTGCCTCAAAACTGGGTGGCCAGCACAGGGGACTCACGTGAGCGTCTCAGTGATGGAAGTCTAGTTTTGAGGTGCCTCAAAACTGGGTGGCCAGCACAGGGGACTCACGTGAGCGTCTCAGTGATGGAAGTCTAGTTTTGAGGTGCCTCAAAACTGGGTGGCCAGCACAGGGGACTCACGTGAGCGTCTCAGTGATGGAAGTCTAGTTTTGAGGTGCCTCAAAACTGGGTGGCCAGCACAGGGGACTCACGTGAGCGTCTCAGTGATGGAAGTCTAGTTTTGAGGTGCCTCAAAACTGGGTGGCCAGCACAGGGGACTCACGTGAGCGTCTCAGTGATGGAAGTCTAGTTTTGAGGTGCCTCAAAACTGGGTGGCCAGCACAGGGGACTCACGTGAGCGTCTCAGTGATGGAAGTCTAGTTTTGAGGTGCCTCAAAACTGGGTGGCCAGCACAGGGGACTCACGTGAGCGTCTCAGTGATGGAAGAAGCCCGCGGAGAACTAAGGGTCACGGCACCATTCTGGTTTTGAGGTGCCTCAAAACAAACAAGGGTCACGGCACCATTCGGGTTTTGAGGTGCCTCAAAACAAACAAGGGTCACGGCACCATTCTGGTTTTGAGGTGCCTCAAAACAAACAAGGGTCACGGCACCATTCTGGTTTTGAGGTGCCTCAAAACAAACAAGGGTCACGGCACCATTCTGGTTTTGAGGCGCCTCAAAACAAACAAGGGTCACGGCACTATTCTGGTTTTGAGGCGCCTCAAAACAAACAAGGGTCACGGCAGCATTCTGGTTTTGAGGCGCCTCAAAACTAACAAGGGTCACGGCACTATTCTGTGAGCAAGCAAAGTGATCTGGACTCACGTGAAGGTCTCAGCGATGGAGGCGATGAGCTGGAAGAAGCCCGCTGAGAGGACCTGAGCCATCTCGGAGAGGTTGGGGAAGGTATAGCGCTTCATGAGCTGGCAGGTTGGGGGCGGAGATAGGGAGGGGGACGGGGGGAGATAGGGGGGGGAACGGGGGGAGATAGGGGGGGGAAGAGGGGGATAGGGAGGGGAAAGGGGAGGAGGGTACGGCGGACGCATAAGGAGTGCAGGGAGGAGCTGAGCCATCTCGGAGAGGTTGGGGAAGGTGTGGCGCTTCATGAGCTGGCAGGTTGGGGGCGGAGATAGGGAGGGGGACGGGCGGAGATAGGGAGGGGTGAGAGGAGGGCAGGATAGAATGGAAGCGGAGTATCCGAGTACGTCCGGAAGAGATAATGAGCTGCAAGAAGTCGGTGGAGAGGAGCTGAGCCAATCTTCTGAGAGGTTGGAAAAGGTGTGGCGCTTCATGAGCTGGCAGCTTTGGGGAGGGGGGGCGGGGAGGGGAAGGGAGGAGGAAAGAGGTGGGGGGATAGGATAGGAAGCACAGGGAGGAAGAGAAGTGAAACCCAGACGCACAAGAATGGATCCAGCGAGAGAAATCGATTGGAATTGTTTGTTTTTGAGAATTCTAAAAAACAACGCATGGACACAAAGAAGAGATAGGGGTTAACAGAATGTATGACACGAGAAAGGTGCGACCGCCTTTCAATCCCACAGAAGAGGATGGCGACGATGCCTGAGAGATGAATAGTGCTAACAGAATGTATGACACGAGACAGACACTAAACACACTAAAGAGCATGGTGGTATGAGAGGTGGAACGCCTTATAATCCCGCAGAAGAGGATGGCGACGATGCCTGAGCGATGACTAGTGCCAACAGAATGTATGACACGAGACAGACACTAAACACACTAAAGAGCATGGTGGTATGAGGGGTGGAACGCCTTACAATCCCACAGAAGAGGATGGCGTCGATGCCTGAGAGATGACTAGTGCTAACAGAATGTATGACACGAGACAGACACTAAACACACAAAAGAGCATGGTGGTATGAGAGGTGGAACGAATTACAATCCCGCAGAAGAGGATGGCGACGATGCCTGAGAGAGCAAGGCCCTCTGCCACGAGGTAGCTGCCAAGCAACGTGAGGCAGGAGCGGGGGAGACGAAAAGCAAAAGTGGAAAATAATCAATAAATTAAAATAAAATAAATTCAGGGCGAACAGAAAACAGGACGGAAGGGAGCTGGGACGGATCGGGTGGAAGCGGATAGCATGTACAAGAGAGCTGCAACTTGCAAGCAAAAAAGGAAACATCTGCAGGTGAGGGAATAAAGAAAATGATGCGGCACTCACGAGATGTAGGGGAAGAGAACGATGAGGCAGCATTCGAGGTTGTGGAGACTGCATGGGGGGAGGAGGGGGGAGATGGAAGGGGGGGAGGACGAGCCACTATCAGATTACCACGAATTCGGCAGCACTTGAGGTTGTGAAGAATCCAAGAGGGTTGCAGGGGGGAAAACGAATAGTCATGGCGTGTCATGGTGTGACATGATGTAGCATGATGCGATCATGCAACAAAACGTGGCATGATGATACAAAATGCGCCATGATGAGACAAATTGCAGCATGACAAGACATGATGGTGTGGGCTGTTTGGGGGTTCAGATTCTGCAGTCAAGCCGCAAAAGACACAGCAGCTGACTCTTCAGGGAGAGGCCGGCATACTCGAATGAAAGGGTTCGTTATGGCAGACAGGCGTGAAGAGATGACAGACAGGTGTGAAGAGATGACAGACAGGTGTGAAGTATTTTTTTATTCGACTCAAATGTCACCCTTTTGGGTCGACTCAGAAGAGGTGACAGACAGGCGCGAAGTGGCAGAATGGAGCACGGACGGAGCAAATGGAGCAACGATAGAAGCTCCGAGCTCAAAGTTGAGAGATGGACGGCAAAGAGCAACTCACTTCTTCACGGATAGGCCGGCATACTTGAAGAGGTGCATGATGGTACGCCGTATAGTACATAATGTCAAGACGAAGACAATGGCGCAACGGGGTTAAGGAGGCATACGGAAGAGGTTTGCACCGGGCATGCTGTACCAATAAGTGAGTACGAGTCTAGGAGGAAGGAACCTTCAAAACGACAAGAATCTGAAGTGTGACAAGCAGTGCAACAGAGGGGATAGGGGATAGGGCATAGGAGGTTGTGATAGGGTGGAGAGAGGTTCTGATCGGGTGGAGAGAGGTTGTGATGGGGTGGAGAGAGGTTGTGATAGGGTGGAGAGAGGTTCTGATAGGGTGGAGAGAGGTTGTGACCCCTATCTTGTGAACCCTCACAACCTCTCAAGATAGGGTGGGGTTGGTAATCAAGAAAAGTGAGGGGGAAGAGGGAGGTAGTCAAAGGGCAGAGGCGGTGGCGCTTGAAAGGATATGAGAGCAGAGAAGAGAGACACTCCCACTCCTGCAGAGGACAAGTGAAGTAGAACAAGGAAAGAGAGAGGAAAACGGAAACGGAAAGGAAAAGGGAAAGGTAAAAGATGTGTGAAAGGATATCAGGGCTTGTAAACGAGCCACCCCCACCCCACTCATGTGGAGGCATAGAGGAGACTTTTGAGTCGACTCAAAACCCACTCATGTGGAGGCATAGAGGAGACATTTGAGTCGACTCAAAACCCACTCATGTGGAGGCATAGAGGAGACATTTGAGTCGACTCAAAACCCACTCATGTGGAGGCATAGAGGAGACATTTGAGTCGACTCAAAACCCACTTTTGAGTCGACTCAAAACCCACTTTTGAGTCGACTCAAAACCCACTCATGTGGAGGCATAGAGGAGACATTTGAGTCGACTCAAAACCCACATTTGAGTCGACTCAAAACCCACATTTGAGTCGACTCAAAACCGACTCATGTGGAGGCATAGAGGAGACATTTGAGTCGACTCAAAACCCACTCATGTGGAGGCATAGAGGAGACATTTGAGTCGACTCAAAACCCACTCATGTGGAGGCATAGAGGAGACATTTGAGTAGACTCAAAACCCACTCATGTGGAGGCATAGAGGAGACATTTGAGTCGACTCAAAACCCACTCATGTGGAGGCATAGAGGAGACATTTGAGTCGACTCAAAACCCACTCATGTGGAGGCATAGAGGAGACATTTGAGTCGACTCAAAACCCACTCATGTGGAGGCATAGAGGAGACATTTGAGTCGACTCAAAACCCACTCATGTGGAGGCATAGAGGAGACATTTGAGTAGACTCAAAACCCACTCATGTGGAGGCATAGAGGAGACATTTGAGTCGACTCAAAACCCACTCATGTGGAGGCATAGAGGAGACATTTGAGTCGACTCAAAACCCACTCATGTGGAGGCATAGAGGAGACATTTGAGTCGACTCAAAACCCACTCATGTGGAGGCATAGAGGAGACATTTGAGTCGACTCAAAACCCACTCATGTGGAGGCATAGAGGAGACATTTGAGTCGACTCAAAACCCACTCATGTGGAGGCATAGAGGAGACATTTGAGTCGACTCAAAACCCACTCATGTGGAGGCATAGAGGAGACATTTGAGTCGACTCAAAACCCACTCATGTGGAGGCATAGAGGAGACATTTGAGTCGACTCAAAACCCACTCATGTGGAGGCATAGAGGAGACATTTGAGTCGACTCAAAACCCACTCATGTGGAGGCATAGAGGAGACATTTGAGTCGACTCAAAACCCACTTTTGAGTCGACTCAAACCCCACTTTTGAGTCGACTCAAAACCCACTCATGTGGAGGCATAGAGGAGACAGCAGTACAAAGAAAGGCAGCAGAGAGAGATGCTCCGGTCTCTCAATAAGCTGTCATCACGTAATGAGCCGACTCAAAACGAAATTACTAACACACCTTTCAACTCGCTGCTATCACGTTTGCATCTCGTTCGCATCACTATTGCATGAACAGTCCTACAAATGTACCGATGGATGTAGAGCCTGCGAAGGTGATGACGGCGTACTGAAAGGCAGCAGAGATGCTTGGGTCCGCAGCAGGGTTGCGAATGATGGTCATCACGGTCCTGTGCGGTTGGAAGGGGTAGAGAGAGAGGCAGTGATTGGGATCTGCTGCTGGTTTGCAGATGATTGTCATCATGGTCCTGTGCGGTTGGAGTGGGTAGAGAGAGAGCCATTAATGCTCGTCACGGTTCTGTTGGAAGAGCTTATAGAGGGGGTTTGCCATAAAAACTGACTATCTGTTGTCCAAAAAAGGCACAGATTGTATAGATAGTGAATGTAGACGAGACGACAGAGGGTTAGGAGGGGCGAAATGAGAAACAAGGGTGTTAAGAAGCAGACGGTGGGATGCGGACATGCTAGGAGAGAGTGGGTCAAGAAAAGGCAAGGAGTGGTGTCTTACCTAAACATGGTGATGGCAACCTGTGCACACATGGATGCACATGCATGCAAAAAAACATGCACACATGTATATGCGCATGCATGCATACGTGGACATACGCAGGTGCGTTACACGAGCCATGACGCACATGCACAGCACACGGATACATGCAGAGACACAAGGATGCACAGACAGACAGACGCAAACCAAATGAATCTCGTCAGCACAGCAAAATAATCTGAGTCAAGCACACACGAACAGAAAGCCTAAAACAAGGCTGTGGTGTGGCCTAAGCATGGCCATGCACTCACCGCATCGTTTAGAACAGACTCGCCAAAAACGAGAGCGTAGAGATTGGTGTCGGCTCCCACGTCCTGGTTGGAGAAGAGTAGCAGAGGGATTGGGGGGAGGGGAGGGAAATGCGGGGAAGGAAGTGGGGGGAGGGAGCAGAGAAGGCCTTTGAGGTGCGTAAATGTTCGCCAAATACGCGAAGGTAGAGATTGGTGTCGGCACCCACATCCTGGTCAGAGAAGAGTAGCAGAGGGAGGGAGTGGGGTGCGGGAAGTGGGAGCTTGCACAGCAGTCGGTCGTTACCCTTCACCAGGTGTAGGCTGTAGCCCCTCTTGACCTTCAGCAGCACGCGCCTGGAAGATGGCGAGGATGGCCACAGGGCCGGTGGATGAGATGAGATGAGATGAGATGAGATGAGATGAGAGCACCGAAGGCCAGCGATGAGCACCTGATAGATGAGCACCTGATAGATGAGCACCTGATAGATGAGCACCTGATAGATGAGCACCTGATAGATGAGCACCTGATAGATGAGCACCTGATAGATGAGCACCTGATAGATATGCACCTGATACTGTAAGCATCTGCTACGCCGCCCGCCCGACCTTCGCTACCACATCACACCCCCGACCGTCACCAGCTCGCACCTGGAAGATGGCGAGGATGGCCACAGGGTCGGTGGAGGAGATGAGAGCACCGAAGATGAGCGCCTCTAGGAACGAGAGCTTGTACATGAGGAAGAGAAAGCCACCCACGTAGCTGCACGGGGGTAAATGGGGCATATGAGATGGGGTATAGAACATGTGAGGAGATCAGAGCACGGAAGATGAGGGTCTCGAAGCATGAGGGCTTGTACATGCGGAAGAGGAGGCCGCCTGCGTAGCTGCGTGGGAGGGAAGAGGTGCATATGACGCTGTGATATAGGTTGTATGGGATGGCAAACAGATATGATGGATGGAACGAGGGCTTGCACATGAGGATGAGGGAGGCACCCACATAGCTGGCTACATGGGGACATAGTGCGCGTTTGACTGTGCAGGAATCGGATGGCATGAGAGCGTGTGCATGAGGAGAAGTGCATGCCTGGTGTGCTCAGCGCTTGTTGTGAGAGCGGCGCTTGTTGGGAACCCAAACCCAGCACTCACACAAGGAATCCAGTGACGTGAAGTCTAACTTTGAGGCGCCTTAAACATAAAACCCAAACCCAGCACCCACACAGAATTTTGAGACGACGTAAAAATCACCCAGCACCCACACAGATTTCTGAGTCGAATCAAAAATCACTCAGCACCCACACAGATTTCTGAGTCGACTCAAAAATCGCCCAGCACCCACACAGATTTCTGAGTCGACTCAAAAATCACTCAGCACCCACACAGATTTCTGAGTCGACTCAAAAATCACTCAGCACCCACACAGATTTCTGAGTCGACTCAAAAATCACTCAGCACCCACACAGATTTCTGAGTCGACTCAAAAATCACTCAGCACCCACACAGATTTCTGAGTCGACTCAAACATCACCCAGCACCCACACAGATTTCTGAGTCCCAGCACTCCGAGCACTCCCAGAACTCACACAAGTACTCCCGTAACAATCGCTGAAAGGAAGGTGCCCAGGCATGCAAAGGTGACAATGGCTCCGAAGTTGTTGAAGAAGGGCTTCTGGATGCGAGAAAGACGTGCACGCACGCATGCACAGACAAACACGCACACACGTATTCAAGCACACACGCACGTATTCAAGCACACACGCACGTATGCAAGCACACACGCACGTATGCAAGCACACACGCACGTATGCAAGCACTCATGCATGCATGCATGCACGCACGCACACACGTATGCACGCACGCACACACATACGTATGCAAGCACACACGCACGCACGCACGCACATACGTATGCAAGCACACACGCACGCACGCACACACACATACACAGAGACACCCACACAAGCACACACACATGCATGCATGCACGCACGCACACAGACACACGCACACAATGCCAGAGGCAGAAGGGGGGTAGTAGGGTGGTTGCGAAAGCGAAAAGACTGCGAATCGATTCGGCACGGAACATATGCCACAGCAAGAGAGCAGTATCGGCCCGGCAAACTAAAGGACAGGACGAAAGCACTCACCACTTGAAGGCTGAAACCAGACTCAGTGCAGCCACAAAAAAGTACCAAGACGGCATAAAAATGCAATGGTACGGACGTAGGTTAAGGACAACGCCGAAAGCCCGTAGAAAAAATCATATACTACTTGCGTAAGGAATCAAAACCACAACTGCTGCAAACGCACAGCTGAACAGAAAATTGACAGCACTGGAGAGATAGACATTGGGCGGAGAGGAGAATGGAGGCTGGGTGAATTGAAGAACAGGCGAAATGGAGGGCCGGACGAGTGGGCGGATATAATATGATCGGCGGCAGGAGGAAGAGCAGGAAGATCTCCTCCTTAAATCCAAGCCACTCCCTGCAGTTCATACAACGAAACAGGGGGGACGGGAGACAGGGGGAAAGGAGGGCAGGGAGTTTGAGTGGATATTACATGATTGGGGCGGGAGGAAAAAGGGCAAAAGATCAACTCCCTTCATTCTGTGCCTTGGACTGGACGGGATCAGCACTTAAATCCCTCTCCGCGCGATGAGAGTGTCACCACTAAGACTTCATTACCATCACACGAACATGCTGCAGCATTCTGCGCCCAGCATGGGATGGGATGGGATGGGATGGGATGGGATGGGATGGGATGGGATGGGATGGGATCACCGCTTCGATCCCTCTCCCTTGTCAAAATGCACCTATAATAAGCAAGGCTAAAAGCTTCTTATTTATACGACTTCTCATGCGTGACTCCAATCTGGCTGAAGCATCTGACGCACTATGCAGTCCATTACTGCTCTGGTCTGGTCTGGTGTGGTCTGGTGTGGTGTGGTCTGGGTACCTCGTTGCTGCCCATCGGACGATCCATTTCACAACACTGCCTTTCCATCTGACCCTCTACTGACACTAGCCTGCCTTTCCACCTGAAGCCCTGCTTCCACACCTGAAGCCCTGCTTCCACACCTGAAGCCCTGCTTCCACACCTGAAGACCTGCTTCCACCAACCTGGCATCTCACCTGACGACGCTCCCCCCCCCCCATCGACCTGCCCTCTCACCTGAAGCTCTCCTGTGTGCCTCGCCAGTTGCCAACGGAGCCCACGAAAAGGCCTGGCGCACACGTGGGCGCGAGAGACAAGGAGCAGCGGAAAGAAAAGAGGGGGGGGGGGGGAGGGGGGAAATAATCAGGAGGTTGAATTGCCAACAGAGCCCACGAAAAGGCCTGGTGTACAAGTGGGCGCGAGGGGCACGGAGCAGCGGGAAGAATGGAAGGGGCAGGGAGAGAGAGAGGGGGGGATCAGGAGGTGGAGTTGCCCAAGGCGCCCAGCACAGGCCGGTCAATGCACAGGAAGGAGAGAAAAACAGTGCCGTGGGAAAACGGGATGCGAGGGCGAGGGGGGATCTAGGAGGTGGAGGTGCTCATGGCGCCCAGCACAAGGCCGGTGCCGTGACTCAAAAGTCACAACGGCGCCCGGCACAAGGCCGGTGCCGTGACTCAAAAGTCACAACGGCGCCCGGCACAAGGCCGGTGCCGTGACTCAAAAGTCACAACGGCGCCCGGCACAAGGCCGGTGCCGTGACTCAAAAGTCACAACGGCGCCCGGCACAAGGCCGGTGCCGTGACTCAAAAGTCACAACGGCGCCCGGCACAAGGCCGGTGCCGTGACTCAAAAGTCGCAACGGCGCCCGGCACAAGGCCGGTGCCGTGACTCAAAAGTCACAACGGCGCCCGGCACAAGGCCGGTGCCGTGACTCAAAAGTCCCAACGGCGCCCGGCACAAGGCCGGTGCCGTGACTCAAAAGTCACAACGGCGCCCGGCACAAGGCCGGTGCCGTGACTCAAAAGTCACAACGGCGCCCGGCACAAGGCCGGTGCCGTGACTCAAAAGTCACAACGGCGCCCGGCACAAGGCCGGTGCCGTGACTCAAAAGTCGCAACGGCGCCCGGCACAAGGCCGGTGCCGTGACTCAAAAGTCGCAACGGCGCCCGGCACAAGGCCGGTGCCGTGACTCAAAAGTCACAACGGCGCCCGGCACAAGGCCGGTGCCGTGACTCAAAAGTCACAACGGCGCCCGGCACAAGGCCGGTGCCGTGACTCAAAAGTCACAACGGCGCCCGGCACAAGGCCGGTGCCGTGACTCAAAAGTCACAACGGCGCCCGGCACAAGGCCGGTGCCGTGACTCAAAAGTCGCAACGGCGCCCGGCACAAGGCCGGTGCCGTGACTCAAAAGTCACAACGGCGCCCGGCACAAGGCCGGTGCCGTGACTCAAAAGTCGCAACGGCGCCCGGCACAAGGCCGGTGCCGTGACTCAAAAGTCACAACGGCGCCCGGCACAAGGCCGGTGCCGTGACTCAAAAGTCACAACGGCGCCCGGCACAAGGCCGGTGCCGTGACTCAAAAGTCACAACGGCGCCCGGCACAAGGCCGGTGCCGTGACTCAAAAGTCGCAACGGCGCCCGGCACAAGGCCGGTGCCGTGACTCAAAAGTCACAACGGCGCCCGGCACAAGGCCGGTGCCGTGACTCAAAAGTCACAACGGCGCCCGGCACAAGGCCGGTGCCGTGACTCAAAAGTCGCAACGGCGCCCGGCACAAGGCCGGTGCCGTGACTCAAAAGTCGCAACGGCGCCCAGCACAAGGCCGGTGCCGTGACTCAAAAGTCGCAACGGCGCCCGGCACAAGGCCGGTGCTGTGACTCAAAAGTCACAACGGCGCCCGGCACAAGGCCGGTGCCGTGACTCAAAAGTCGCAACGGCGCCCGGAACAAGGCCGGTGCCGTGACTCAAAAGTCGCAACGGCGCCCGGCACAAGGCCGGTGCCGTGACTCAAAAGTCACAACGGCGCCCGGCACAAGGCCGGTGCCGTGACTCAAAAGTCACAACGGCGCCCGGCACAAGGCCGGTGCCGTGACTCAAAAGTCACAACGGCGCCCGGCACAAGGCCGGTGCCGTGACTCAAAAGTCACAACGGCGCCCGGCACAAGGCCGGTGCCGTGACTCAAAAGTCACAACGGCGCCCGGCACAAGGCCGGTGCCGTGACTCAAAAGTCGCAACGGCGCCCGGCACAAGGCCGGTGCCGTGACTCAAAAGTCACAACGGCGCCCGGCACAAGGACGGTGCCGTGACTCAAAAGTCCCAACGGCGCCCGGCACAAGGCCGGTGCCGTGACTCAAAAGTCACAACGGCGCCCGGCACAAGGCCGGTGCCGTGACTCAAAAGTCACAACGGCGCCCGGCACAAGGCCGGTGCCGTGACTCAAAAGTCACAACGGCGCCCGGCACAAGGCCGGTGCCGTGACTCAAAAGTCGCAACGGCGCCCGGCACAAGGCCGGTGCCGTGACTCAAAAGTCACAACGGCGCCCGGCACAAGGCCGGTGCCGTGACTCAAAAGTCGCAACGGCGCCCGGCACAAGGCCGGTGCCGTGACTCAAAAGTCACAACGGCGCCCGGCACAAGGCCGGTGCCGTGACTCAAAAGTCGCAACGGCGCCCGGCACAAGGCCGGTGCCGTGACTCAAAAGTCACAACGGCGCCCGGCACAAGGCCGGTGCCGTGACTCAAAAGTCACAACGGCGCCCGGCACAAGGCCGGTGCCGTGACTCAAAAGTCACAACGGCGCCCGGCACAAGGCCGGTGCCGTGACTCAAAAGTCACAACGGCGCCCGGCACAAGGCCGGTGCCGTGACTCAAAAGTCGCAACGGCGCCCGGCACAAGGCCGGTGCCGTGACTCAAAAGTCACAACGGCGCCCGGCACAAGGCCGGTGCCGTGACTCAAAAGTCGCAACGGCGCCCGGCACAAGGCCGGTGCCGTGACTCAAAAGTCGCAACGGCGCCCGGCACAAGGCCGGTGCCGTGACTCAAAAGTCACAACGGCGCCCGGCACAAGGCCGGTGCCGTGACTCAAAAGTCACAACGGCGCCTGGCACAAGGCCGGTGCCGTGACTCAAAAGTCACAACGGCGCCCGGCACAAGGCCGGTGCCGTGACTCAAAAGTCACAACGGCGCCCGGCACAAGGCCGGTGCCGTGACTCAAAAGTCACAACGGCGCCCGGCACAAGGCCGGTGCCGTGACTCAAAAGTCGCAACGGCACCCGGCACAAGGCCGGTGCCGTGACTCAAAAGTCACAACGGCGCCCGGCACAAGGCCGGTGCCGTGACTCAAAAGTCCCAACGGCGCCCGGCACAAGGCCGGTGCCGTGACTCAAAAGTCACAACGGCGCCCGGCACAAGGCCGGTGCCGTGACTCAAAAGTCACAACGGCGCCCGGAACAAGGCCGGTGCCGTGACTCAAAAGTCGCAACGGCGCCCGGCACAAGGCCGGTGCCGTGACTCAAAAGTCACAACGGCGCCCGGCACAAGGCCGGTGCCGTGACTCAAAAGTCACAACGGCGCCCGGCACAAGGCCGGTGCCGTGACTCAAAAGTCACAACGGCGCCCGGCACAAGGCCGGTGCCGTGACTCAAAAGTCACAACGGCGCCCGGCACAAGGCCGGTGCCGTGACTCAAAAGTCACAACGGCGCCCGGCACAAGGCCGGTGCCGTGACTCAAAAGTCGCAACGGCGCCCGGCACAAGGCCGGTGCCGTGACTCAAAAGTCACAACGGCGCCCGGCACAAGGACGGTGCCGTGACTCAAAAGTCCCAACGGCGCCCGGCACAAGGCCGGTGCCGTGACTCAAAAGTCACAACGGCGCCCGGCACAAGGCCGGTGCCGTGACTCAAAAGTCACAACGGCGCCCGGCACAAGGCCGGTGCCGTGACTCAAAAGTCACAACGGCGCCCGGCACAAGGCCGGTGCCGTGACTCAAAAGTCGCAACGGCGCCCGGCACAAGGCCGGTGCCGTGACTCAAAAGTCACAACGGCGCCCGGCACAAGGCCGGTGCCGTGACTCAAAAGTCGCAACGGCGCCCGGCACAAGGCCGGTGCCGTGACTCAAAAGTCACAACGGCGCCCGGCACAAGGCCGGTGCCGTGACTCAAAAGTCGCAACGGCGCCCGGCACAAGGCCGGTGCCGTGACTCAAAAGTCACAACGGCGCCCGGCACAAGGCCGGTGCCGTGACTCAAAAGTCACAACGGCGCCCGGCACAAGGCCGGTGCCGTGACTCAAAAGTCACAACGGCGCCCGGCACAAGGCCGGTGCCGTGACTCAAAAGTCGCAACGGCGCCCGGCACAAGGCCGGTGCCGTGACTCAAAAGTCACAACGGCGCCCGGCACAAGGCCGGTGCCGTGACTCAAAAGTCGCAACGGCGCCCGGCACAAGGCCGGTGCCGTGACTCAAAAGTCGCAACGGCGCCCGGCACAAGGCCGGTGCCGTGACTCAAAAGTCGCAACGGCGCCCGGCACAAGGCCGGTGCCGTGACTCAAAAGTCACAACGGCGCCTGGCACAAGGCCGGTGCCGTGACTCAAAAGTCACAACGGCGCCCGGCACAAGGCCGGTGCCGTGACTCAAAAGTCACAACGGCGCCCGGCACAAGGCCGGTGCCGTGACTCAAAAGTCACAACGGCGCCCGGCACAAGGCCGGTGCCGTGACTCAAAAGTCACAACGGCACCCGGCACAAGGCCGGTGCCGTGACTCAAAAGTCACAACGGCGCCCGGCACAAGGCCGGTGCCGTGACTCAAAAGTCCCAACGGCGCCAGGCACAAGGCCGGTGCCGTGACTCAAAAGTCACAACGGCGCCCGGCACAAGGCCGGTGCCGTGACTCAAAAGTCACAACGGCGCCCGGCACAAGGCCGGTGCCGTGACTCAAAAGTCGCAACGGCGCCCGGCACAAGGCCGGTGCCGTGACTCAAAAGTCACAACGGCGCCCGGCACAAGGCCGGTGCCGTGACTCAAAAGTCGCAACGGCACCCGGCACAAGGCCGGTGCCGTGACTCAAAAGTCACAACGGCGCCCGGCACAAGGCCGGTGCCGTGACTCAAAAGTCACAACGGCGCCCGGCACAAGGCCGGTGCCGTGACTCAAAAGTCACAACGGCGCCCGGCACAAGGCCGGTGCCGTGACTCAAACGTCACAACGGCGCCCGGCACAAGGCCGGTGCCGTGACTCAAAAGTCGCAACGGCGCCCGGCACAAGGCCGGTGCCGTGACTCAAAAGTCACAAC